GAGATTTTTTTCCAGCCTTTGGTAACAGTTCTCAACCTTTTTTGACTTGCGTACCCATTTGGGCATTTTGTCTTACCATGAGTAGCCCTCTCATTCAAAAGTATTGGCGATTGAAAATAGGACGAAAGTATAATAACTCATTATGAAATAAAAATGCTTTACTTAATCTTTTAATTTGAGAATTTAATTCCTAGGTATTTTATATTTTCCATCTCAAATACAAAACAACATAAATATGTTGCCTGGCAGTAAGTATGGAATCTAAATAAATACAAAATAAAATCATATTATGAACCTGTATTTATAAAACTGGGGCTCCTCTGAGTAACTCCCTTATAATCACATATAAACTGGATGAATTGGGAACAAAATACAGAACACAATTTTTAGTCAGACTGACTTAATTACTTTTACTTTGTTTTCATCAAGAAACCTGAGCTGCTTTGATGAGCTCCGATATCTCAGTGTGGAAAACAGCTGATCCCGGGCTGTTCTCTATGTCAAGTCTTTTCCTCTGCTTGGTTTTGATGTGAGTCAAAGCTGAAGGTGAACTCAAAGAAAAAACATAAATTCTGCCTTTGGAACTCTGAGCCTGTCTGTTCCCATCTGATCTGTTTGCCTGATCTGTCTTTGGACTCCTGCTGGATTCTGCCTGTTGCTGAACTTGAAGCTGTTTTCAGTCACAGACCTGGATTTCCCTTCTGAACCTCTTCGGCTCCAAAGAGATTCAGAGGGGAAACACGTCCTTGACACCAACTTTGGCTTTGCCCTCTGGATTTTCCTGCCCTCCTTCATCTGCCCGCATCTGATCTCCTGCTTGTTTTTTGTCTTCTGGGACAACAGCAGCTAGGACTCTATGAGCGACACGTTCCCCATGCACAGACTGAACTATTAAACCAGGTTGGTGACTCGCGTTCATAATCTTCCTCCGCCAGATTTACGTGGACACTAACCTGTGTTTCCTTTCTGTAGTTTCCTGTCTTAGAGGTCCTAGCCGCTGCTACTGTAGATCAGTTTTTTTTATATAAATGCTTTTGAACTATCTGTCTGTCTGCCTTGAATACTGGGTCCTCGGTTCTGAGCCATGACAGCTGGACCACCTTCAATGTCCTTCTCCGTAGTCAATCATCTTTCAAGATCCCATTAATTTAGCTCTTTGCCTATCTTTCCTCTCCCGCATGCCAGCAAACTTTCACCCACCTGTGCCCCATCTCCTCCCTCATTCTCAGACTAATCTGAGTCCCACTCATCCTCCGGCTTATTCCACCATGAGTGTTCGGACCCTGGGAGGAAAGGCTACTTTAATTCTTTTCCAAGGTTACTCATCCAAGCAAAAGTGTTAATTCTCAACATAAAGCTCTTCTGCAGGGGTCTAGGCGCCGAAGAAATTATTTCATTTATGTCAATAAAACTTTTTGAATTGCAGCATTTCAGTGTGACTCTGTACAGGTTGAAATTTAGACATTTCATTTTATGTTTTCCGGTCTTTCATACACTAAGCAAGAGTAAGAAGATTCTACTCAAAACGAGAACAATGATCTGTCAGCGCAGTAAGACAATTGCACTTCTTAAAATCATGGTCAAAATTTTTTGTTTTGTTATTCTTAGGAATTGTTTTTCAACATTAGTATAGCTCTAATGATGCACTTCAAAAGGGGTCATACAATTTTAAATCTAACCAAAAGTCTCTAATCTTTTTTTTTATTATCAGATTGATAAACTAAGCATAACAGATTTTTTTATATTATTAATCTCATGTTGAGATTCTATTTAATACAAATGCAAATGCAATGCACTCAGTAAGACTTCCTGAAGTTATGATATATTTATTCTCAAAACAAGAAGTCCTACCAAGTGTAATTGTCTTTCTTCTCTGGCAGATTAATGTCACTTATTTTTTAGTAGAATTTTCTAAAAAGAAGTTTAATAATCTAACATAATTGGGTTATGGTTTGTAAAATCATCTCAAAAAAAGGATTTTTTTTATGGCAAACTTGGTTAATGCAGACGGTCAACTTTAGCAGAATAGTGATGGTTTTATTGCTACTAAGTCTTTTCACTGAGGCTTATTTGGATTCAGTTGTAATTATGGTTGAAATGTGGATTCAATAAGGAGAACAACATCAAATAAACACAGACCAATTGAGCCTCTCCACTGTGTGACTCTATATTTGGTCACCTAACCTCTCCACCCTGGAGCATCGACACAGCACTTTAGAAATCAAAGACCTGCCAGGCCCGCTGTGCCGTCGATGTAAAGTCGTGATTGGACTGTTCACAGACTGATGTAAATTGCTTCACAGTGGGCCTATTCACGAAGAACAAGTCTGACAGCTTGTCCTGATTACTTCAACAGCCGTGTGATCGTGACACATTTGTGTGGGCACGCAGATTTGTGTGTTTGCATTTGCCTTTGTGTTTCTGACAACACGGAGTCCCTTACCACACCCACCGCCCCCCGTATCTCTTTGGTGCAGACGGTTGCAAACACTCACAGGACCAAATAAAAACACTGCAACCAGGGCCACAGCTCAAGCCGTCCCAGGCTGGATCATTGCTAACTCTGCATGCAGAGACGCTTTCATGCTTTCAGCTTTATAATTAAGCACGACTTTCTGGTTTGTAAGACGTCCGTCAGCAGTCAGAATTCATGCAAAGGACATCAGAATTCATGTGATTACGGGCCAAAACTTTTATTGATTATTAGTTAAAAATGTTCCTTAGTGTTGATCTTTTGAAACCGAAATAAGATATATGAAGGTATGTAACTTTTATTTGACCCAGTGTTAGAAAGTTGATGCAATTATTTGCTCTTTTATTGCCATCTATGTGGCAATAATAGAGCAAATAAAAGCTTTAGCTCATAATCGCATGAACTGTGGTCAGCAGGTAGCTGACCAACGTCTTACAAACCAGAAAGTCATGCTTAATGATAAAGCTGCCATCTATGTGGCAATAAAAGAGCAAATAATTGCTGATCATCCTCTGTCAAGTGTAAAAAAAAACCTTTGTCTAACTATCAAGATTTTATTTCCTTCAGCTCACAAGAGGTAATACTAAACATTCTTTCATTTCTAATAAAAGGAATCCCTAAATTATATCCAAATAAAATATTTCATTGCATTCTTTTTTATTTTTGGATAAAGAGCTCGATGAAAAGGTACATAGATCATTGAATATTTCTCTCTCATTGTTCTCATTTCTGTCTATTTAAATAAGATTTAAATGTTTCCTTGTATTGTCATTAAAATATTTTCTCTGTTTCCTTTAATTATGTTAACATTTTAATTTGCATATTCATTCAATTTAGGTATGGATTGCCATGGCATTACAAGGCATTTATGTAAGTTATCTCTGTTTTTTCTAAATATCAAAACTCTGTGAATTTAAATCTACTTTGAATCCTGAGCAGCAGTAACTGAGGGGTAAATTGAAATAAAGCCAAAATTGCCAAAGCAGAAAGAAGAATGTTTTTTTATTTGCTTTTTTGGAGCAATAAAGATTTTATTAATCTGTGTGTAATGCATAATTCATTGTAGATCAGGAAGTGTTTGCTTCACGATAGAAACCTTGTATGTCTAAAACCATTCCTTTATTGTACATTTTGTTAGCTTGTCTGTTTGCTATATTAACCAACAGGATGTGTTGAACTAGATCTACTACTTACATAACTTTTGTGAGATACCTTTTTTTATACAGTAT